CCCGCCACCTTAGGTGTATGTGGCTGGCGCCTTAGCCGCTTGAGCCACAGGCACCGAGCCAATAATCAATTTTTTGATTGAATTAAACATTTACAAAAAATTAAGTTTAGTATTTATTTATTTATTTGTTTTTTGAGACAGAGTCTCAAGCTGTTGCCCTGGGTAGAGTGGGGTGGTGTCACAGCTCACAGCAACCTCCAACTCTTGGGCTTAAGTGATACTCTTGCCTCAGCCTCCCAAGTAGCTGGGACTACAGGCACCCACCACAACACCTGGCTAATTTTTGGTTATAGTTGTCATTGTTGTTTGCCAGGCCTGGGCTGGATTTGAACCTGCTAGCTCTGCTGTATGTGTCCGGCGCCCTAGCCACTTGAGCTACAGGTACTGAGCCAAGTTTAGTATTTAGATGTTTTTGGACTTTATTTACATTTCTCCCTAATTTTAGTTAATGCTAGGCAACCATTAAAAAAATCATTGGAAATAATTGTTATAAACACTTTTATTTTCATCTTAATGTTGCTTAACTTTCAGAATTATCTTCAACTCTTATATAGTGTGCTATAGAAGTCATGGAAGTCTCTCTATCCATGATTTTTATATAAGAAGAAAAAAAAGCTAGCTTGGCGCCTGTGGCTCAAGCAGCTATGGCGCCAGCCACATGCACCAGAGCTGGCGGGTTCAAATCCAGCCTGGGCCAGCCAAACAACAATGAAAACTACAATCCAAAAAAATAGCCAGGCATTATGTTGGGCACCTGTAATCCCAGCTACTTGTCAAGAGAATCACTTAAGCTCAGGTGTTGGAGGTTGTTGTGAGCTATGATGCCACAGCACTCTACTTAGGGGGACAGCTTGAGGCTCTGTCAAAAAAAAAAAAAAAGCTAATGCTTCTAAATATGCTGTTTTCATTTAAACATAATTATATACTCTGGGTTTTTATAAGAACAAAATTGTGTATAGACTCCTGAACAGCCAATCCACTTGTTTAATTTACTTAATTAATTATTCTAGTAATTTTTATTAAATTAAAAAATTAAAAGCTAATTTGTATTTGTAAGATATAACTGACTCAGAGTCATAATGTCTCCCTCTACAAATCACTGGATAAGTGAGATTCAAGTGCTAGTACAATCCTCGAGCATACTGAATGCTTAATACATGATATATAGTAGTAGTGCTAAAAGTAATTGTGGTAGCAGCAGAAATACTGTATTCAGCTTTGATCAGAGGAATGAGCATGTTCTTTTGTATAGAAGCTAAAAAAGAACTATGAACTTACAAGGAATGCTTATTTAAAGATGAAACAGAGATTGTGATGGATATGATTTCTTATTCAGCAGGAACAAGAAGTTCATCATTCATTGACTGAATTGTCATTTACAGGTGGAAGCACTAGTTCATTTCCAGTAACCTTTAATGGAGGTGCTCCTTCTCCTTTGATCTCCTTACTTTTTCAAACTTGCTCTCCACCTATGTTTTACTTCCCTACCAGGGCCCTTGGAATGCCCTGTCTGGAGACACACCTGGATAATATCAGCTTGCCCCTTTGCTACAAGATTTTTACAGCTAATTTTTGGCAACAGCAACCTCTTGTTTTACCTGCTCCCAAAAGGCTAGCAAACAGCAAAAATTCTCTGTCTTTAGTCCCACTCATGATGGAAGTGCCCACACTATCTTTATTGGAGGTAATCAATTCAAAAAGTGGTTCATCCAAAGACTTCAATGAACTATGTCTACAAGCACCCAATTCTGCCAATCAGATGTTATATGGATTACAGACAACCGGAAATATTTTTCTGCCAAACTCTGTTGCCCAGGAAACACATAGTTTTTCCTTCCATCCTCCCCATAGCTTTTATAGATACAACTACTCCATGCCATCTAGACTGGTAAGTTCTGCCAACCATCTCAAAAAATGACAACAGTCAAGTTTCCTTTAGAGAAGAAAAATGCAATCATATTCATCAATATCCAACAATTAAACATTGCCTTTAATGAAACAATAACATTCCTAAAACAATTACACGTAAGCACATATATTCTTTATTTGTACCCAAAGAACTGTCAACAGGTTATTAGGGTTTTTTAAAGATTCAATACCAGATGGCATTGCTCTGTTTTGCATCTAAAGTGCCTTATCAAATGTTCATGAGGAGTTTATGATGTCAAATATGATCCATAAGAAAATCAGGTTACAATGACCTTGGGCCTTAAAATAAGACACTCAGTAAATATCATTTGATGAGACAACCTACCAGTGAGAATTGATGCCAAGTGAAAAGATTTACTATTATAAAAAAGCCAGATTACCATGCTAACTGCCTTTTATATATTAACAATTTTCAAAAGAAGATTGATATAATTCCTGTGAAAGCAGTAAAGCAATTTAAGTTTGGTTTATGGAGACTAGCTTCATTGTAATTATCAATATAGTAATTGTAGAAGAAAATGTGTTTGTTCACTTTATACCTTTATACTCTGCTCTTGAAGGAATTTCTTGTCTCAATTTTAAGTTTCAAATAAGAACACAAACTTTCAAGTGTTACTTTTATTAATCTGTGTAGCCTTAAGACCATTCAAATCTGAAGGAACAAAGATCAAATTAAAGGTAAAACATTATAAATAAATTTCATTTTTTATTTCCTTTTATTTTTGGATGATTCCAAGATAAGGCTTGATACTTATTCCTTTAATAAACCTGGTATTTCATACACTGGTTAAAAAAATTATTGTAGCTCTCCAAGAAGATTAAGAAATTGTGATTTGAAGGAGGAGAATATACTTGAGTCATAAATATGAAAATAGCAATACATTGGTTCAATTTGATTTCACTCTCATTGGTCAGTCATGGTAAATTAGACTAGAAAAAAGTAGAATACGATTTTATTTTACTTTGTGAAGTTAGAAATCTTTCTTTTGCCTAGTCTTAAATTTATGTAAAGAATTATAAAGTATAACCTATATATAGCCTGTATATATTATTTTTCAATTTCAAAGTGTTATAGGGATACACATTTATTTTTGCTTACATGGATTACTTTTATAATGCTTGAGTCACTAGCTTATATATGTTTAAGATGAATTGAATTTTGATCTTTATGTCTCTAGTTACAGGCATTTTGTTAAGCCAAGGCCCTTCTTATCAAACTGGCATATCTTGGTTTTTAACAAACTGACCAAACTACCTTTTTTTTTTTTTTTTTTTTAGAAACAGTCTCACTTTGTCACCCTCATTAGAATGCTGTGATGTCTCAGCTCACAACAAACTCCAGCTCTTGGGCTTAGGTGATTCTCTTGCCTCAGCCTTCCAAGTAGCTGGGACGACAGGCACCCGTCACAATGCCTGGCTATTTTTTGTTGCAATTTGGCCGGGGCCGGGTTTGAACCCAACATCCTCAGTATATGGGACTGGTGCCCTACTCACTGAGCCACAGGTGCCGCCCAGACCAAATTACTTTTTAAAACTTCTCTAACACATATTAGGAAGAACATGTAATTATTACTTATTTTGACCAAAATGATTATTTGATCCTTAATACACCTTTTTAATGTACCTTCCTGTATATGTGTAAAAATTATATGCTCTTCACTCCTGAAGGTAGAGATGAAACAGCACATAATTTCATTCAAAAAAATTATAGTAAAGATGAAATATTATTTGTGATCTAAATTAATTAGATGCTTATTGTAAAAATCTTTGAACTGGATGATCTGTACTAGTCAGGTTTACTAAACTAGGGACTAAAAGCAAAAAAAAAAAAAAAAAAAGCACACTTTGCTTTATCTACTTCAGAACAGGAAAGCTATAGACTAACTTTAACTCGTAAAATCAGTTATTACATTTTAAGCAGAAACTCCTTTATTAAATTATAATTAAACATTATGAATTGAAAGGACAAAGAATTTATCTGAAAAATTCAAAAAATCTGTAAGTTAATTTTAGGGATTATTTAAAAGAAGGCCATTAATTTTGTAGCTGCTCCAGAACACATAAACCCCATGCTTTATGTTTTACATAAATGTACTATATATTACTCATATAAAACTGCTAATATGGAACTTACATTGGTAATGATGATATAAAGTGTCAAAAGTTTAAATGCTAGAAGGTTGACATTTATGACATTTAATACATTTTATATAACGTTCATAAATTGTCATTTCTCACTCCCATTTGAGAGAATTCTCTCTTCATAAAGAATCAGACTTGGAAGAAGCTTCAAGATGGCCAGTAACCAGTCTCCTATGTCTGAAAAAGTTACTCATCTGTGGAAATCTTCTAACAGCTCTAATTCACACATAATACATATTTAATGCCCTTATCACTAAATTCTTATTCTTCAGTAGATGATGCAAAACTCGAGTAACTTGGTAAATTGAGGATATGATTGTGAAATAGCAAACTTCTATGGAATTCTGTCACTTTTGACTACATCAAAAAATATTTGGCTTGCTTCAAAAATCAAATCAAAAGCCACTCCAGTTAGCCTAAGTGTGAACAAGTTAAAAAATAAAAGTGGCCAAATGTGTCAGGGCACAGGACTGGGCAGGTCTCTTGCCTGGCTTAACTAGGTTCCGGACTCAGACTGCTAAGCTACCTTGCTCAGGAACAATTTCTCTTAGGTGCCTGAGGGCTATCTACTTTAGCAGGAGAGAGAGAGAGTCTTAGAGAGAGTAAAGCAGTCACCCTAGAAAGATAGATCTTAGTCTTTGGCAGAGCTTAGTGATCTTCAGCAGAGAGATGCCCTGCTGGTGTAGTGTAGGCAGGAGAGGAGACAGAGTCAGAGTAAGCGGGGTCCGTGATAGACTGCACATGCTTCTGACTTCCCTCTCCTCCAGTCTAATATAAGGCTGATGTCATGCCTCTCAACACCACAAGTGTACAGACTGCCAATTCACCAATGCTCTCATCTCATGAGCTCTCATGCTTGTTACAAGAGCTAAATCCGTCTCCATACCCTTTTCACCATAGTGTTCCATTATTGAGCTATACAGGTATTTCTTATAACTCTCACTCCTCCTAACCATAGGCTATATGAGCTGCTACACAAATGATACTTAAGAGACTCTCAAGTATGATAATTAAAACCTGTATTCTAATCTGATTTAATCATACATATATGTGCACCTTTTCCCCCTTTTAAAAGAGAACATCTTAATTTAGCTAATGAAATTTGCAATACCCAATTCTTAACTGACTTGGTTATATAACTTACCCCAAATAAATCTTGGTAAAATAAATTTTTCATCAGCTTTGTAACATTTGCATGTTTAATAAGGAAACAAGTGAATGTTACCTTATCCTTGTATGTCCCTTAGTCAAGCTCAGACTTGTAGTCAGATTCCCTGGTCAGGAAGGCATTATTTTGTGGATCAGTCAGTCAAGCTGAAATCAGGGATCTAAAGTTTGAGCCTGGTTGCAGAACACATGTGAGTGAATAAATCATCTATTCATTACATTTTGGAGACCAATATATTATTTTAGGTAACATAAATATAGAATTTCAAACTCTTTAATACTGCTATTTCTTTTCACTGTACAGACAGGTTAAACCCTCCGGAGATTATATTTTAAAATTCAGGATATATCTTTAGGTTATGCAATTTTAGAGTCTTCAAACACATTAATATCATTGATCCTATTCAGTGCCCTACAAAATTAAGAAGTTTATGTTGCCCAACTATGAAAACATGTTCATGACATTTCACTGCTATTAAACGTGGGTTCTAAATAAGGTCTGGGAATAGACATGACTTCATTCTTTTGTGAGGGAAGCATATCTGTGGCATGAAAAGAAATGAACAATTAGAGTTAGCAAGTGATGACTTAGTGAATCAGTCTTTGAACTATGAAAGTCTTATATGCTGACAACCTGAACAAGTGCCAACCACAAATAAAGGCAAACAACTTCATTTGACATTATGGAAACTTTCTCTGTACTTTTAATCATGTTTATTATGCACATTGAAGAAAATCAAGGTGCACATAAAGCAGGTAATATGTATCTTTGAATGCAGCATTACTGGTGCAATGCTGATCCAGAACATTAGTGAAATAAATGGTTTGTATAAATGTTGAAAATATTTTTTAAAAGTCTACAATCATGCTGATGTGAAATTTAGATGCTTTAAGACAATAGAGTTACATGTCTGTGAATACAGTAAAGTAATATGTAGTTGTTATCTCCTTACTGAATCTCAGTAACAAGACCTTCCCATATCTGAATATGCAGTTTTATTAATTCCAGATGTCACACTATTAAATGAGTGCACATATATATATGTATATCTGTATAGTGTGTTTTACTCTAGTTTTGTTGTTTAATAATATACTGTGTCTTTTTTTCTTCTACTTCCTAAAAAGAAATGCTACAAAATATGCCTATCCATTGGTCACTTATAATTTACTATTAATTACATATACTTATGTGAAATGACAGATTTAAGCATACTTAGAAAAGTCAATTTGCATGTACTGTATGTTGTAAATTGAATTGACAGGATGGAAGTACATTTTTACTCTAATTTGCCTTTCTTCTGAAAAATCTTCAATTAACCAAAATAACAATAATATCCTGATATACAGCAACAGTTTACCAGTTGATTTCACTGGAATTTAACATGCTTATTGGAACATTTTAAAGGAAACCAAATGCATAGCTTAGACAGTTAGCTTTGATATATGTACCTTGGTATACATTTAGTCTTCTTAGTTTTGGTCCACAATTAAATGATAATTTGTATTAAAACTGTGCAAATAAATATAGTTTGGATGACAGTATAAAACTGAATGGATACAATAAACATTTGAAACATATCCAGTATTAAAACTGTTTACATGTGTGGTGCTGGCCAACTTTTGACATGCTGTTTCAATAAAATATTGAAAGGAAAAATGCCAATATCATTTCCTTTCAAAGTTTCAAATGTTCATGTTTACAAATTTTACTGAACATTAATATGTAAACATACATGATAGTGAGCAGATGTACAGA